GGATGGTGCAGTCGTCAACCACATGCGACTATAATCAGCTGTTCTAAACTTCCTCATTGGAAGTCACGAAAAAGCGGTGGGTTTTTCGAGAAGTTGTTGATCGTGTAATTACCAAAGAGCCTTTCGTCTTTGTGTAAGTGTTATTGAAGCGTTTGGCCTAGTAGATTGTATATCAGTATACCCTTCCAGGCTCTGAAGAAGGCGATACTGCCGAAACGTCAGCTAGCGTTGTATTGTATTGTTTTTATGGAAGTAAATGTATGCTGTATAGCAACCTCGCGACTGTTAAACAAGAAAACGACGCTGTTATGCAGTGTTATGTCACTGATCATTTGCTATAAACTTCAATCAATTTTTAGATATCGGTGGGTGAAAGCGTGTGTAGCGCAGTGGTAGGGAGACGCCTTGTAATACGTATGGATTTGATCCGGTGCTCCAAGCTCAGCAATCCTTCAAATCCTTCTGGTTTAACAAGTTGGTTCCAGACACGTCTTATAAGATAGCAGCAGTGATTAGCTAAATTGGCAGGCAAATGCGAGTCAATGTAGCGGCCAGATATGAATCCAATCATCTCTTACGATGAACTTAAATACATGGTACATCCATCAAGGATTGATCAACGCCGAGAGCTTTGTCATTTAGGATTCCAATCTTCTTCGCATATACTTGATTCCTTCTCCAGGCTAGGCCGTTCTTCATCTTCAACCTCCGGCTCATCCACCTCTTGGAAAATAAGTTCATCAACCATTTAAGAAAAAAACGAGAGTATGCGACAAAAACATTACACAGGATCCTCTTTCTACTATTTGTACTATTCGAGAAAGAATCAACTTAGGTGTAGTACAAACTGTTCGTCGAAAGCTCCAAAACTGTCGAATGTGCTTAATTTGTTCAGCCAAAAAATTCCGATGCTGTCACAATAGCACAGCCGGCGAACTCCTGAGCAAGAAAGTAAAAACTATGCGGTAGCAGACAGCAACGCATGCAAGGTCATTAACTGAAGTAAATTTGTGTTTCTTCTACAGTAAATTGACTACGAATGAATTTTTGTGACTTTTATAAACACATCCGTGCTTGAATTTCAAGTGGACGTTGGAGCACGCCGATAACCCTCATAATACTACATGTACTTGTTGGCATATTGGTGGACAGAGTGTTGTATTCGGTCACATTATATCTGGTTGTCAAATATGTTTAGAGCACAAATTTTTTTCCGAAACCTTCTTCCACTTCAGTATAGTTTTCCCAGCTGACTCAGTAGTTTAGTTCGCAGTCACGATTTGTAGTAATCACGTGGAACTGAAGAAGTCGATTTCAGTCACGAATGTTCATTGATTCAGAAACACTTTCTTTTTCATTTTACAATATTTTGTCAATATACAAATTAATATTCCGGCAGTCAGTTTTTACTATGATGCACGTCGGTGGCGAATGCTGAGTATTTTGGCGAACGAGATCGTACTCAGCGCGTGTTAGAATTCTGATAGAAGCCTTCTAGTTTCATGAAATCGTTGAACTCCGAGGGCACTAATATTAATGACGACTAGTGGGGGCAAAAGAAAACGAAAAACAAGCAGATTCAGAGAGTGGTGCGGGAGAAGCCGTTATATGGAAAAATTGTCGCTATTACACTACTAATAAAAAAAAAGAACGCAGATAGGTCTTTCGTTTATTGGTACGACTCGTCATCAAATATTGAACACACTTCATTGTTTAAGTCATTTGGAACGTTGCCTTGTATACGCCATCCGTGATGCTTTTCGAATTTTCTCATGAGTTCGGCTGCTGTAGAATGATAGGTGAGTTGATCTTCATTGGAAACTTATAACAACTCTATTAAAGCGCTACCAGGTTTTTGCTACAGCTGTAGCAGGTCTTTATGGAACAGACGTAGCTTTTTCCAAACACGTCTGACGCCTAATTATCGAACATGGAGCGACGAGGAGCTTGCTTGGTTCGCTGCAGCATCGAGTTAGTGGCCAAGGTGCGTTTTAATGTACGGCACTTTTAAGCACCGTCTTTCCCGTGCCCACACTGGGGATATAAATTTGGACTGTATAAAACATTTCAATGATGCTGACATATTTGCAAAACTCCGGATTGCAAGTGTCTGCGGTGGGGACCGAATGCGCTGTTGCCCATTCCGGGGAGTAACGCGTTCATCACCACACCACGCGGGTCCTTCGTTTGGCCTGTCTCTCAACTAGTTCTATCGATCTTTTGCCATCAACAATCACCCCTGAGCTGGATTGATCTGGAGAGCCCAAATCGGCAACGAACTCAGTTAAGCTGAGGTTTTTAGTTATAATCACAGTCTTAGCCGTTTTGTTTATTGCCTAATCTTTTTAATGGCAGGGTATGTGCAGGCGAAACGAAGGACCCGCATGATGTGGTGGTCAGCGCGTCGCATTCGTTCCCCATCGCAGACACCTGCGGTCCGGAGTTTTGCAAATATCTCAGCATCATTGAAGTTATATTTCGCAATATACCCTGCCGTTAAAAAAAGTAGACAGTAAATAAGACGGTTAAGATTACATAGAACATTGTTTGTTTGAGTAGTTCTACGGTAACTCATTGAACACAATTGTGATGAAAATGGTGCGATACTAGTTATTTTGAGCATGTTTTAAAATCAACTATCATTAGACCTCTAAAAAACAACCGGTAACTTCTAAACTTCTACGATTATTAAGTAAACACGGTCACCACATGAAGACCTTTGACTCATATCAATCCGGTTCCAGAAGAAGACGAAGACGTCGAAACGTTAGGCGAATAAATGTCTTTATCAACCTCGTATTAGCTTAATTATAGGTGCTATATTCAGCACAAAGTTTTTCTGTCTGCAGTGGAGATTTCAGCAACTAGAAGAAAGAAATTTAGATTCTTAGGTGTCTTAGGAGGAGTTATTTTTACAAGTGCATAATGGTCGTAAAATATCATTCGCCATACAGTCACCATTGTTACCATACTTATCCAGGCGAATGAATCGTTCTTCACCGATTTTCATCTTACCACGTTCTGTACGAATTGGTATCTAAAAAATGAAGAAAACTCTATTTGACTAACAATTAAGCAACTAATAGCTAAGGTCGTAAAAAAGTTTTCTTTGCTGACGCCCACTTGAAATTGTCCCCTCGCAGGTGGAGCTACTTCGAAGACAAGATTGTAATCGTTGACCGTTGCAGAAAACGTGGTATTTTCATTTGATAGAACGTACTTCTCGACTTTAATCACCTGTAATATCTTCAATTACGAAGTGGACTAAAAACTAAGAAACAATGGAAGAAGAAAGAAATAGAGGTGAATAAATAAGGCGTTCGACGTTGACCAGTTCTTGAGGAGTGTCCCATGATTTCGACTCAATTCATAGCACTGAGGCATGTTTGTTCTATTCAGTGACTTGCGGTGACCCATCCCAGTTGGGTCTTGGAATGAGCACCAGAATTTTGTGGAAGGGTATAAATAGGGACCTAATACATTTACAGGTCACTGCAAATCATTGTTGCGAGTAAAAGAGCTACCTCTAGGATGCCGTAGAGGGTTTGGTTACCGCAGTGGGCAGAAGCGTGCCAACTACCCATCAATGTGTACTGTAGAGCAGTTCTAAGCAAGTCGCTAAACGCGACTCAGTATGAAAAGGCGGTAATATAATGATAATTAAATAAATACAATGATTAATAGTAGAATGTGTTGCCTACTAACTTTTTCTAAGGAAATTTTCTCACACATGGTAGAAACACGGTGCGATTCCAGCACAGAACTGAGACGTTTTGCCGCGAACTGACCAAGTTCTTCGGTCCTATTCGATCCACTGAAACAAAAATGTTTTTTCGCACAAACCCAAACTCTTTGGGAAGCGTCTTCCATTTTCCAAGGTTTGCCCGCCCTACAATATATCATCGTCATACGATGAAGAAATGCCCATAAGGAACAGTGTAACGTTAACGTACTGATTTTAGTGAATTACGAACAATATGTAGGAGCTTTAGGAAAATTTTTAGCTATCTAAAAATAAATAAGATCGCAGCCATCGAAAATTCATTGCTCACAAACGCTTCTGCTTCAGAAATGTAAGTTGTACTCCAGAAGAACCAATTTCTCAAACTTCTTTCCATAATCAGAAGGCGCGTATAGCTCAGTGATTAGGGGTGCCCTGCAATACACACTAGGTCGCTGATTTTATGCTGCGCAACAAACTCACTAAGCCTTCCATTTCTTAAGGGTAAAAAATTTGTCCGAGGACTGTCTTAGAGGAAAAAGTTACTTACTAACACATCAGTAGACTACAGCAAGCCATTATATTGGCCAAATGTGCATTCAGTAATCTCAGCGATGCTACGAATGGAATTGCTCACATCACCAATCCCTATAGGTTGCTCACCACCTAATACCCTGCACTTTACAACTTGGCAGAAATCGGGCAGAGTTATTGAATAAGCAAAAGGAAATTCTTCAGCTTGAAAAACTATATGTATAACAAATGAGAACATTATCTAGAAGAATAGATGGCTTCTCCTCATAAATCGTGAAGTCCTTAACACGATGTTCCTTCGAATGGAACATTGCTAGTAGAGTAGATTTTTTACTCTGAAGAGCTTTGTTGGAGCTTCACCAGATTATCATCGTTGAAATTTAGTCGATTCTTATAAACAGTGAAGAGACATCGCCTTGCGAGCTTATTTCTTCTAGTGTGATGGAAATTCGCGTTTTATGTTGTCATTTTCAACTGTCTGCGGACAGAAATGTTGAACTCTTCAACCTTAGTGATTCTGCCAGGAAGATAGAATAACTCTTGCCTTATATTGTGATTTTAGTGGACGTGGGCAGCGTTCTATGCGTTGGAGTAGTGTGATATTGCTGGAGTACGGATAGTTAGAAAATATTTTTGAGCGTTGTTTAATTTGCTGAATCACACGGGGGTATTCTGAAACGGATGTCGTCAGAAGCTGAAGAAAACGTTCAACAAGGTTGAGTCGCCTGACACTGCCTTCATTAATGAACTGAGAAACGATTAATTAGGTTTCTTTGTATTTTCACGGAAGTAGTCCTACAAAACGGGTTCCAATACAGGCAACTTCAATTTCCAAGGCAAACATTTGACCATCAGATGTGTAGAACATATTTAATTGCTGTTCATAAAGCAAAAAACCTATATTGGCTTGGAATAACCACAATGATGCTGAGATATTTGCAAAACTCCAGACCGTATGTGTCTGAGTGGGAGACGAACGCGCTATTACCCTATCCGGGGACAAACACGTTCACTATCGTATCATGCAGATCCTTCGTTCCGACTGTCTCACAGCTAGTTCTGTAGATCAGTGCCATCATCAATCAGCCGTCAACGAGGTTGATCTGGGGATTACAAATCGGCGAAGAACCTAGTTAAACTATTTCGTCATCATTGTGGTTGTATCACACATAATACTCACGCGTGAAAAGTTGTAGTAGGCAGCAAATAAAAAAGTTAACACTGTCTTGGAATATTTGAAATCTTTTTTATTCAATATGGCTGGTTGAAAGAAAAGAAAACCAAACAATGTGAAGATGAAAAAAGCGGATTGCGAAGGACAACTGGAATTAACTAATTACCAAGAGCAGACCGCATTTCTACGACCTACGACCACGGTGCAATTACGTGAAGTTTTCGTAAACATAAAACATTCATAATTCTCACCTTACAATCTCCGCTCTGTATTGACATATACAGTAATTGAATGAAATCGGAAGCGTCTTACACGTTCGGCGAATTCCATCTTCAAATCGCCGCAGTAACGAGGAACCACGAGGATTACTGTCGAATTTCATGAATGTGACATTAGAAAACGATGACACGGGTTGGTACTGAAAATAGAGCATTTAGTGGGTTTCAGAAAGCAAGACGCCTACCGTATGACGGTGAATAGTACTCATTTAATCTCAGTAAATACGACACGTACCGTATGACAATTACTTCCTTACAATATCACAATGATTCCTAAGTTTTATAAAAGCGATATTTCGAGATCAAATCTTGTTATTGCCTCCCACTGAGCTTAATTTCTTCTTATTTCACTTCATTTCAAATTTATTTGCTACTACTGTACTAACCACTGGCTTGTTCCCGAATCCTTTTGTCGAAGAATCAATTTCAGTGTCTTCAAAAAAAAAGGAGTTCTCCTAATTTATTCACTATACCAATCCTTTAATCAAAAAGCCAATGGGGGATAGAGAATATACCTTCTACTTTATCTCCCTACTTTTTCACAATGAAAGAATACCGCCATACTTCCTTCAAAGTGGGGAATAAATACAATTATTTCTATTCGGTTCTCTACTTACGTAATTAATTACACGGCATGATATAGATCGCTTCGATAAGAGCTATAATATATAATGTAGTCTATGACTTAAAATTTCAGATTATCGATGTTTCTTTCTTCTCGATTACGGTCGTCCTAGTCCCCTTTCATGACGTAGTGTTGACGGATTTCGTACAAAAAGATATTTTGTTCTAATTACCGTCCTAGAATACAGGCATCTTTTACAGGTACAGCTCATGAATTTCACACAGTGATCGAAGTAAACCCTCTATGCCGATGTTATGGGACATTTTCTGTCGTCCAGTCAACTGAGTGGGTAATTTCCCTAGTGTTCTCCATCACTTAGCAACTTTCACCGAACTGTTCCTAAATTCATCTGCCTCAGCACTTACATAAAGAATATCCTTGAAAGTTGAATGGAGGTCGTGATGAGTTACTAGTTCTTCACTATTTCGTCGTAGTTGATTGTGCATTGTTGTATGACGTAGATTCTTTGGGATGATCACATACAGAAACGGATTGTTCCCTTCTTGTTTCCCGAAATCGGTATAAGCTTCCTGAAAATTTAACCATGTCATTTGCATTAGTTGATTATCTGTCATCTCTTATCTACTAAAGCATCATATCAATTATTTCTATTCATCGCATCTCGCTCACTTGAACACTTGAGTAGCCCGTCATCACGGAGAATCATTCGAGCCTGGAGCAAATTCTACCTTATTATTGGTGATTTAGTGCTGGTTGGCTAGGATCTTTTTTTCTACGAGTCTCGAACTACTTAGGATAAGGCTTCAGTCATTAGCACGGAACATTCAGAAACTATTACGAATGGGAGCGACGGCCCTATCTCTCGCTTAAATGTTTACCAGGGCGACGATAATTTCTGAAGTTCATTTTCTCTTATATAGGATTACTTTGGAAATAGAAAACTGCCACGGAGCTTGAGAAATCCTTATGGAGGGTGGACTTTTTGCTGCATTGCTGTTCAAAGGCCAGCGGCATCTCCTTGTTATGGGGTGATGCATAACCACTGCATGATTATGTCCTACGGATTTAATAAGGATAAAACAGAAACTCTGTCCACCAAAAATCTGATTTTAGTAAACAGAATACTGAAAAATAAGTATTCATATAAAAAGCGAAAGTAAATTTCTGCATTCTTAGTGGCTAATGTGTAAAACAATACGACCAAGCCGATAAAGAGATCACTATTATTTGTTTCATAATCACTTACACTTCCGAATCTAGGCCCGTGATCACCAAAGAAGAAGATGAACGAGTTGTTGAGCTGAAAAGATCAGCATAAAGTTTTTAATATGTGACAATATACAGAAATAATAAAAAGATTAAAATCTCAGAAGATCTATCAGAAGAGGATCAGAACAGTCGATGTTGACCAATACCAGAGGCATGCGCCGCGATCGAATTCGACCCCATTCGTGAGATCGTAGCGGTGACTGAGTGCATTGCTGGGCTATTCAGTTACATGTAGTGGCCTACCAATATATTAACTTAATGCTAACAAGTCTGGTTCAATTTACTGACTCCGTAGACATGGAGAACCTCATGCGAACGTGTCACTGGTTCGATCCAGTGACAGACTATACATGTATTTCAAGGTATCTATACCAATACGCTACATGAGACATCCGCATAAAAAAAAACATAATGCTCTCGGCGTTGATCAATCTCCGAAGGATGCATCATGCATTCGATTTCGTTTAAGTGTCGCTGGAGGTGATTGTATGCATATCTGGCCTTTACTCGCGGTGGCCTACCGATGTGCCGAGCCAGTGCTGCTATCCTCCCAGACAAGTTTGGTAGCAATTTGCCGACTCCGGAGAAATGGAAGGCTTGGCAAGGCACAGACGCGGGGATCGATTCCACGTGTGTGTTGCAGGGCGCGTCCTATCACTGCGCCACAGGCGCCCGCCCCCATACAGATATAATATGCATGTGTAATGCACTTGGGTTACATATGGCGGAAAATGTTGAAATTCTTACGGCATCACGATTGTTGACGAAGAACTCGTACAAGTCGTAATCAGCTCGATAAAGATCATGTGTATTGTCGTGTGCCAGATCCACTAACCATGAAAGCGAGAATTTAGATAAGCCTAAAAAATGGGCTCTGATCGATTTTTGATCGGAAGTAGTGACATGTAGAACGTTTGTTAGGAAATGAAAAAAGACATCCAAACGCAATTTTTTAGCATCGGAAAGAAGCCAACATCCATAGCAAACAGCTAAAGTGGTCGATAACCATACAACCGGTTTAAACTTAACTTTATAGGAGCCGAGAAACTTCGAGAGATAGTCAATGACATTATTGCGTGATTCTCGACACACAGACTTCTCATGGATACTCTTCAATTCATCATCCTTTGACAGCCGTAAATAGAAGGGCCTGCATTTTAGTAAGTAAACAGTACGTTAGTAAACGGTAAAAGTTTTCGCAAAATAATAAAATACGTCAGGTCTGTGATGAGGTGCGAAGTGGTCTTGTTTATTTAACGAAATTGATTTTAGAAGGGCTTCCTCAGAGATCAAATTATTTTGGTGATTTCGTCAACCGTCAACCGATTAGATAAGATAAATGCTTTGATTTCTTTGACTGGATAGGAAGCGAGTTCTAGATTGATCGGATAAGCGCTTAGATTTTTTCAAGAATTTACAATACATATGAGGTCGCTGGCTTGGCTCGGCGCTATAAAGTAACTAATTCCCTTCTCACCATCCTTTCGGAGACAACAAGAAGGTACCAAACATGTATGGGAGGGTAGAAAATAGATGCTTAGAGAGGTACCGATAAATATTTGCACAGGGTAAGTATGCACTTGATTATATCAACGGTGTTACGAATGGCGCCGAATGCATATTGGATCCCTTAGAGATTGATGAATGCCTAGCGCCTTGTACTTTATTCTTTGTCCTAAAAATTTTCTCACTGCTTTTCCACCGATTGCCCAGATATTTGCTGAGATCTGCACGACTGAAAATTTTCAGTCAAATCAGTGGCCCCACAGAATTCGATAGAATTTCGAATGACATGTATATTATCACAACAAGGAACGATATATCGTTCAGGTTCAAAAGCATTGTTTTTTGTATCTGTCTGCTTGATTTGATCTCCATTACTTGTTAAGGAAATCAATCTTCTTATTGTCGACTTGTAAATTATCACCTGTAAATATGATGGAACTGCTTCTGTTTCATTCCGTAGCAATCCGGATAATTAAGTACACTTGCGACATAGTCTTCACCACCAAAAGTCTGAAAAGTAATAAAACAATTGGGATTTACAAAATAAGCCTAAGCAGATAGGTCAAATGATAATCGTTAATAGACTAAAAACAGTTCTTCAATGTGGTAGAAGTAGTTGAAGTAAGTCTGGCTCTAACAATGTACGTCCCGTTTCAGAATCAGAACAATAATCTAAGAATGGTAGTAACTCTGTAGCAGTTATTAATCAGAACAGATAAGTTTGTTGTTTGACTTTATTCAACAAAGGAAGCGCATTTAGCGCAATGGCTAGGGGGTCCCACAAAAATGCAGGTGCTTAGTTCGGTTCCTCGCTTCTGGCTTTCCGAGCCACCCATTTTTCCTAGTTCGGAAAATTTGTGTCTTGTCTGAGACAATAAAAATATTGTCTTGATACATAGGACTCCGAAAGTCATTGTGTATAGCATATACGGATTCAGTCATCTCTACGATGCTTGGAGTTGAAACAAATTTACAACGGGAACCTCAGTGGTTGACGAAAGCTCTGCGCTCTTACGCTTTCTCTAATAAAAGTGGTATAAGTTAGGTTGTCTTGACTACCGCACGGTCCTCAGCACTTTTTTGATTCGTTTCGGCGTCTTGCAAAAGAGATCCATGGAGGTTGTCGGTTCGGTGCGCAGATTTTACTTCATCTTGAGCATTGATCCTTTTCTCTACTCAAAGAGATTTCTAAATTTGCTCCTCTTTGGACTTTTTACGTAGCGCTATTAAACGGTTCCTAGATTCCTTTAACTCTTCTGTGGATGGGAGAGAATCTTGCTGCACTATGATTAATATAACTATAGGAGTACTGCGATCGTTGTAATCGGTCAACTTAGAGAGGAGGAGTGCGATCGAATATATATCGAATAAGAAAAGAGGCGCCAATTTAGGTACTATGATTACCTTATATCCAGCTTTCATGTACTCTAACGGAATATATGGGTAGTCATCAAGATACTGTTTGCACAGCTGTTTGTAGGTTAAGTCGGCTTCTATTGTCTGTAGCTTCATCTGTGTTCTCACCACAGCCTCCGTTGTCTTTCCTAGGATAACATTCATTATTTAATAGTAGCAAATAAATCAACAGTAAATAATGCATGAAATTTCCGTATCGACAGCCTTGTTTAGTCAGAAACTCTTAACAGCTGTCTTGCACAGTAAAGTAACGGTTTAAAATTTAAAATTTTAAAATTTCTTAAAGTTTTTCCGAAGTTTAAAATGGAACAGAAATAATTTATTAAACTCAAAAATAAGACATCAATTTTGCTACGTTACTCTTTCCAGATTTCTAAAAGACAATAATCCGATGGTCTGAGTTTTTACCAAGTATTGCTTATAATAATCTCAATCAGATTTAAAATAACAGCCAATAATAATCATATATGCTTTGCAACATGTGCTATCTCATCAATCATTGAATGATTCGAGCGATGCCACTTTCCGTCAAAGATGCCCGTTGGGTTCCACTTTCCAAAAGACATGAAGAGTATCATACTTTTAAAAGCTCATTATTTTAGTGTTTTTGACGAAAAAAAATACTACAGGGTTTGCCGCAGGTTTATGCCCCAAGGCCTAACGTACCACGCAATGCCTAGTGGGTTCGACTCCAGCAGACATCATAGTCCTTTCTTGGATATGAATTCTAAATCGAAATGTACGACTTTTTTTAACGCGCAAGAATTGGCAGTAAATTGAAGTTGAGCATTATGATTTCAATTGCAGCTTCAATCTAATTGCGTTTAAGGCAAGTTGTGCTTCTTAGATCATCCCCGTTAACGTTTCATTGCTGATAGCAAATAGAACGTTGGCTGAGAGATAGGCAGAGCAAAGGTCTAGGTTGGTGTGATAGCAACATGTGACCCCCTGTCACGGCAATCGCGAGTTCAATGCCTTCCTCATGTTTCGAGTTTTGCTCATATTTCAGCATCCTTGTATTATTTCGCATAATTCCAAATCGTCTCGCATTCGCTTTCCGGCCAGATGATTTATACATAATGTCAACGGAGGGATGCACCGGATAGTATTCGCATCTACGAAAGCACATCTAGGCAAGTTCGGATGCACAGGGATGCGTAATTACGGTCGATATAAGTCCGATGCAGAACAGCAGGTGTGATAATCCTTTGATAATTGGACGTATCCATGATTTAGCGAGTTGTTCTTGCAAGGTTTTTTACTGATATATGAGGGCAAATTCCAGATCTTACCTTGGGATCTAATTATAGTGCAATCTCTCCTTCATAAACTCACCGAGAAGTGTGACGAATGCGTTTGGTCGACTATTTGAGCCAACTTTGTTAAATTTGCGAAACTCTATGGCCTCCATACCATGGAGTAGAAAATTTACGGTTCTTGGTAGAGCTCTGAAACTTATAAAAAACCAAAGGTAATAGAAACCAGAAAGATATAATCAAACAGATCTAAAAACGATAGAATGTAAACTATTTTAGGCACAACTAAACCTTTGTTGAAGATGTCCATCATGTTAATTGTCTAGCAATATCAGCATGGAAAATCAGGCCTAAGACTGACAGGGAACATTTCTATTTATAAGCCGACTTCATTCAATGGCTCAGTCAGAACAATTTTGAAGAACGGCATTTCATTTACTTTGGGTTAACTGCTAAATTTGCTCTGATGAGATTGAGAGGATTTGTCAATAAAAGAATTCGGTGATTTTAAGGGTTCGTAGTCATCGAGTAGAACTTCCGACGTGAGAAGTTGGAAGACATGCGCATTTTGTTCTCGCTTCTTCAAGAAATCTTGCTAGTACGAGTGGGCAGCAATGTTTCGTAAATGCTGATTCACATGATTCAGTAATTGCCTGTGGGACTGTTGAGTTGCAACTAGATCTCAATCTGCGGTAAGTCATTGAGTTAGGGCTTCACTAAAGCAAAGCACCTTTTCCCACTTGTTAGTGTGGTTTACATGGAACCAGGTTTTAAGAACATTTAAAGATACAACTCACAAACAGGTTCACCATCAGCAAACTGATGCAAGAAGGTGTGGAAGGATAGGGGAAGAGAAAAGAATTTGTGAAGGATACAACGGGTAAGCCAGAGCCCAGTTATCCAAGAAACTTGTAGGACGACAGGATTTTATAGTTTACCGATATGTGTGATCATCCTGATTACAGAATATCGATAGTAATAATCACCACATTCGCAACAAGTATAAATCCATGGAGTTAGAGGACGACCTACAAATTCCATTAAAATACAGAAGGATTTGCTCCGAGTTTACTGTTGACCAAAACGTTTTCGAAATTGCTGCGCTAACCCACCAACTACGAAGCCATTAAACTCAAAAATTATAGAAAACAGTTTTAATACTAAGAAACGAAAACTAACTAGCCTGATTATCTGTGTGGATGCCACTGAATCGATAACGATAAGGTGAACATCGGGGTTTTCTAGAGAATTTAGAATTTTTTCGTTGGGCGAGCTAAATTCGATAGTTTTCGACTTTTTGAATCATACAAATGGTAGTTAATAGTTTTCTTCTGCTAACTAATTCTGCTTTGAAATAGTGTGATTGATGATTAAGAAAATCGAAGTAGCAGAACTTGTTTTACAAGGTCCAATTATGAAAATAGCAGTTGGCATCCTTAATTAAAGGAACGCAATGCTCGTAGATCAATGCTGGCGTAGTTAGGAACTATTAAGCTACTTTATCTGATTTCTAGTTCTATTCCGTTAATATCATATACTACCACTGCTTAAGCCATAGATGATATTAGAATGCGTTGGAACTAATTGGTGATAAACCAAAGCGACGCTGTGATATTTGCAAAACTTGGACCCCGAACCAGATCGAATCACGATTTGCCTTCCCTGGAGATCACGCGTTACATAGACGCCACAGAGCTCCTTTCTCTGCGTTTCTCCCAGCTAGTTTTTTATTTACCAGCGCCATCAGCAATCACCCGTCAACGGGATTGATCTGGAGAACCCAAAACGGCAATGAAACCACTTAAACTGAGGCTGTAGTCGAGATCAAAATGTCAACTTTTTACTTACTGCCTATTATTGCTGATAGCATTGATCAATAGAAGTAGGTGAAAGATAGACTAAACGAAGGCCCCGCATGGTATGGTGGTGAACGCGTTAGTCCCCAGAAAGGGTAACAGCGCGTTCGTTCCCCGCCGTGGACACCTGCAGTCCGGAGTCTTGCAAATATCTAAGCATCATTGTGGTTGTATCACCCATAATACCCTGCCGTAAAAATTGTAGTAGGCAGTAAATAAAAAGTAAACTTGTGGATACTTGGTGATGGTTTTCCATAACATGTGTGCCGTTGTTATCAATACGATAAATCTACTGAAGGGCCATGTAGATAATACATATTGGTTTCGTGGATTATGTGGACGAAAAACTTTACCTTCTTAGCACTGTACCTTTCTTCTTCAGTCTGCAGTATTACTCATTGAATTGATTCTATCCATTACCTACTGCAACAGAATTCTCCTAAGCCAGATAATCTGCTGATTCGAGTAGAATATTTTCAAATATTTAACAAAACGTATCACTTATCGAAACTGCCGGGGTAAAATGGAGTGGTAGGGTTTCTCAACAATGAGTCTATCGATCCACTATGATAATCAGCAGATTTCGCTCTCACTTGAACCGTTTCTGTGACTATTAGAAACTCATGTTCAAAAAAGTATCAAATTTCGTCAATGAAATGGTTTTGACTTGAGAGCATCTCTAGGTTTTAACTCAATTTTGATTGAAGGAAGATATTAATGACGAATTACTACGACAGCCTCGCGATTTTATGATACAGTTTCAGTTCATCACTGAACTGTATCCTTATGACTTGTTTCCTTCTCTTTTTCCTCACAAAATATTTATGAATGCAATACGTAATGGGTTACAGAGAAAGGTTTCTGTTTCGTATTTACAATAATTCACTAAGGAGGCGGATGTCACAGTGGTAGTGATGTCTGTCACCACGTGCGTGGTGCTAGTTCGATTCCGCTTTGGCCCAACCAAGCTTCTCATCTCCCCGAGTTCGGGAAATTGTTACTAGACTCGACTGGAAAAAAATCACTCTCTGCAATCTAATTGGGAACGCTCCAGCCTGGCTATCTCAGGTCTCCAGGTAGTATTGCCTGACCAGCATTCTACGACATTCAAGATAGGATGAAAAATCCTCAAACAGCAACTGAAGCCGCACGTAAAGTTGGAAGATCTTCGTGGATGCGAGGAAATGAATCGAATGTGAGAAGTGCTGAGATTCGCACAGTAGACGTGAAGTCGGGTCATGCAAAATAAATAAAATAAAAAAATAATTCAGAAATCTTTGAGTTAATAGCTCTTGATATTGCTTAATTGCCGGAAAGAAAGACGAAAGAAAGCAAAGATAAGTCTTTCATAGCATAAACCTATCGCTTTCCAAAGTGCAGTTTAAAGAAGGGTTTGGAAAGAAACCGAAAAGAAACATGGATACAAAAGCTTACGTCTGCTCGGATATTTGAGTATGAATGAATCTATTCGTTGTCGAATTTGATTTACAACTGGTTTCGACGAAGTCACACTTGAATTCGTTCTTCTCAATTGATTTCCATCCAGTTGCTTCATAGTTGCTGTCATCCACATAATTAATGCACCTAAATTTCATTTTAGTGAAACGTAGAAATTCTGTGTTTAAGAACCATTAAAATACCATTTGTTCATTTTGATGTGGAAAATGAGGAATGTGGATCGCAGAAGAAGTTGTTAGTAGAATTTTCATTAAAACGCCATCATGATGCTCTGAAGAGTCTCAGCGCCGCACTTCCCGATTTCGACACTGCTTTCTCGAGAGACACAAAAGATAGCCCTTTTAACAGTCTCTCTATTTTTTTTTTCTTTTTGTAACGTAACTACGAGAAATTTTGGAGGATTTGGAGTGACATCGGTTTGTTTCCAGCCGTGCTTAGGCTAGAAATGTCGAAATCTTTCTCATTCTAGGCGACTATGTTGGAAGGTGAAACGTCCAGCATATCACAGTAAATCGTGGCTCAGTATCTAGTGGCACTATTGCAAGGTAATAAACCCTTACGAGGAATACTACTGATCTAATTACTTATTCATTTGAGCCGCTTTCACATCAGCTGCAGCACCCGCCGTCTAGTTGGTCGTCGAGTGATGATTCATGGGGGCGCCAGTAAATTTTCCATTTTTCCCTGACGACTACAAGAGCAGCCAATTTGGTCCCGCTTGCTCTCGGGATTCGTTCAGCATCATATCTTTCTTGAAGGGTTTTCATCAAGAACTCGGACCATTGCGTAGGTGGTCTTCTTGCTGTGCATTTGATATGCCAGGTAATACAATTACTAGTGATCCCTTTTCAGCTGTGGTCGTTCATACACAATACGTGTCCGGCTCACCATATCTTCGGCAGTTTGACGTAAAGAACCACATCTTTGATCTCTGATCATTGGCCTTGTCGAAGCTAAGGATCTCCTCTCTAACTACCGTGATATGGGACACTCCTAGCATCGTCCTTTTGATGGCGCGTTCAATAGTGCTGAGTGAAGTTTCAACCATCCCAGCGGTTTACCGTCTCATCGTGGTTGATATGTGTTTCTGGATCTCGGACTGCGATGTAGAGTGGGAGGATTCATTCCCTAACAGGGTGTCCAAGCTAGGAGCGAGTCCAGCGTTGGCATCAGGAAAGGCAGTTAAGAGTAAACCAATGCCAGGGATCCACCAACGTCCTGGTTTCAAACTGGTCGCGTAGTGGCAAGTCTCCCTCTGATCCACAAGGGCGGCGACTGCTTATGGTGGTGAAGACCTGAGGCAGACTTTGGCCGGGCGACCTCGGAATTCCACGAAACCACAGTGGCTTAACTAGCAAATTTCCGAAAAATAGAGATTATACTGGGGCTAGCACAACCAATGAGGACGGGCCATTCAAGTATCAAGCATCAAGTAACGCTCATGAAGATGCAACTGTTGATTTTCATTACCACTCTATCCTATCCTACTGGTTCACCCACCGTGCTTCACACGAAAATCCTTCATGTTCTTTGATGATAACCGTAGCGTTTTTTAGTTCTGTGATCGGTTGCAAGGTAATGTTTGGTGCACAGTCCTAAATTTAAGTTTTTTTAATCACCTTACCTATAGACGTTCATATACAGAGAAGTAAAGAGGTTTTAATGGTTTTTGTATCTGAAATTAAGTTTTGTGGTTTGAAACGACTACCTTTAAGAAACCATACTTTACATCCACATATTTCAAAATAGTTGAATCCCATGGATCAGGAAGTTCAAATGGACAAGTATCAAACACGTCGCTCAATTTCGAATCTTCCACAGTATTGTTAGCTGCTAAAAATCTGTACTTTTCGAGGAAAATTATTCATTAAGCATCATCTTTCGTTGTACGGTCGCTTTTTGAAATAATGTTTGAGAAATGTTTGTTATGGAGCAAATGAGATTTGAAGTGGTTTTTGAAAACAGTGACCTTGTTCGGGTACTACACTTTAGGATTTGCAATTTTAGAACTTTAGTACAATAATTTTGAAAGCGCTCGTCATTTAATATCCATAGTCAAATAATCAACATGTGTTTATATTTCTAAGCTTGCACGAGGTTCATAGAGATGTTTATTCGGCTGACGTTTCGACGTTTTCGTCTTCATCAGAGCCAATGGTCCGTGTCGAAAGTGCACAATTGTTCCCCTTCTCGATGTGGCGTCTTCGTCGCTCATCGAGAAATCGTCGAAACAGCCGAATAAACAACTTTATCAACGTCGTGTGAGCTCGGCAATACATGTTGATTGGGGATTTTAATCTTTTCGCTTTAAATGGAATATGTGTATACTGTAAACAACTGCGAATTGCCCAGATGCAATAGTAAGCAAATCAAAAATTTTTTAAGATTAGTAAGTACTAAATAAATTAGTAATTGACAACTGTTTATATTCTTAAGTTTACACGAGCTTGATACGAGATGTTTATTCGGCTAACGTTTCGACGTCTTCGTCTTCGTCAGAGTCGACGATCTTTGTCGATGGTCCACAGTTGTTCCTCTTCTCGATGTTGTGTTCGTCTAGCATCGAACCAGATCGTCCTCAGTTGAGCGTCTCGAGGAAGCCGAACACACCCGGCGACGCTCTTTTATAGAGCGCGGTTGTTCTTTATAAGATTATTTGAATTTGTATTTTGCATTAAATCTGTTCATTCCATCTTATTTAACAAATAACGGTCGGCATGGACGTAATCATATGTGGCGTATCGAACGGTCATTATGAATACTGTATGGGTCATTCTAATTCTGATGGTTTATTTTGGGGCACATAATTGTTTTTCTAAACCTCTTGGAATCGCTTGACCAACTATTCAACAAAGACTTTGTGGTGGGTCTCCGCCGGAAGAAAGCTCCAATCTGCAGTTGAAAAGTTACAAAAAATTTCTTCTCCAACGAGTTCTCTGATTGGTAACTTCACCAGCTATTGACAGTTGTTTCAGTTCTGTTTGCTGTAATAAACGATGGTGATTGTGTAGAGTGCGCGAATATAATAAATACCGAAAAAGACCCAATAAGAGCTGCCAAACGCTTCGAATTGCTGACAACAAAGTAGGATCATAGTAGCATAGACTAAACAGCAGCAGATATACCGTTCAAATCTACAGTATGATAGAATAAAATCTTTCTTAGAAACCTGTGGTGTAACTCCTCATGTCCACTAGTTATCGACTAATTATTGCTAGCTGTCAGAAAACCGGAAGGTTAGCAAAGGCTGATGATTGAAGGTCTGCGTTAAACACCATGGGTCCGTTATGTGTTAAACAAACACTTGGAAATTCAAGCCTTTCCTTCCTATACAATAACTGACTATTTTGAAAGAGTGTTCAAACAGCTCCTAAATTTGTTACTAAAAATGCGATTATTGAAATTCTAATATGAGTAGTTGATTTACCTTCATTCATTCCGATGACTTCTACCGAATTTGAGTACGGTTTCGTGTTTGCATTATCGATAAAAACATTATAGCAGACATAGTATAATAGTCCAATAACAATGAAGCTGTACAAAACCCATAAGCCCGCCATCTGTGGTATCTAAACTACAAACGTCTTTGTTAGGATACTGTAATGATATCGTCAAAAGCGTATTATAGTTATACGGTAAAGGGCATGCACCCACTTGCCACAGATTCGTCGAGGATCTTTCCGGTGATGATGAACCAATAATAAAACAGAGACTAATAAACCACACAAAAGCAAATTTATAGCGCGCTCGGAGTTGACAAATCCGTTAGACGCGTTGAACTCTACTCCACTGGTAGTTGGCCTTAGAAAAAGGGTCTATCTATATATTAAGTAACTACTTTTTAACCTCGCAGACAAGTCCGGCATCAATTTTCTAACCCTTGTAAGATGAGAGGCTTAGCAGGACCTGGGGTTGCAATCGACTTATGAACCATTTGGTACGACCAAACTCTATCCACTGCGACAAACTCACCTTTGAATAAAGTATATCAGAGATGCTGTGGTGACATCTTAGGCAGTTACGTGTAGCGGATTTATTGACAATCAGTCATTTCGCTAATAATAGAAGGTCAATAAAATGAAAAAGAACATTTTGTGCGCATAAAGGATTAATGTGAAGATGTAGCAACTTGGAGACTAGTATTCAGCGTCACACACGAAGTCATTGATTCGATAACGACCGATTGCGATAGGCTGAGCAATGCATCGTCATCAGATTGTTGATAACATTTAAAGGGTAACGTTCTGCCTTACTAGAGACAAAACATTGCAATTGTGAAACAATGATTTTTTGGACAATTTTCGATGATTTTCGATAAGAAGAATACTTAAGGATGTGAGAAACTTGATGACCTTATAATTGAGGCTTTGGTACAGCACTCTAAAGGTATACGTATTGATACTTCCTTCGGGAAATATAATGTTCATTAAATACATAGAACGAAGGAACTGAAAACAAAATTTAGAAAAAATTAAAGCACGCGCTCATCCCGCCAACAGTAACGACGGTACAAATGGGACTGCATCGCATTGGGCTAGACGAAATTCCTTTTGTTCAGTCGTGTCCGAGCTATGAGCTATGAAAAGGAGAAAAAGAAGAGACGGAAAAAGAAGCTCAGTGAGAGCAGAAAAGTAGCATTTCATCTTAGTCGAATAAGAAGCACTTCGTATCCAGTTGCCTAGGATCTGTGGATTCCAGTGAGCTTCACATCAATTACTGAAGTTCATTATGTCGAAAAGCGAAAGAAATCAATATGTGATAGAAGAAGCTTCGGAATGATGCCTTGTCGTGCTGATAAACTTAGGCAAACTGGTTGTCATCACTAAGATGGGACTTATTTCCACCAAAATTCTGGCTACAGTAAAAATTACTACAACAACCTTGTGCGGGTTTGTCAATATAGCATCCATCATGCTGTTGTTAAATGAAAGCCATTTTCTTTTCGATTTTACACGAGAGTATTTCATTTCTACTGAGCGGATCTGGGGACTTCTTCCACTCGATTCGTCTCTTTGAATCCATCGTTTACGGTGCTCTTCCAACTTTTTGCCTCTAGGCTCAACTACTGGTTGATTTTCCTGTCGCCATAGACTTCGCTTTGGAAACGTATCAGCTTCGCAAAAATAGAAGTTTGTTTCCCAGGGTGTTCGTTCGAGATGGGAAGGCAGAAGGGTAGTATGAAACTGTTTAATGCAGGATTCTTTTTAAATGGCAAAGTTTTATCCTTTCCGGGGAAGCGCTAATTGCGATTCGGTATGACCTGTGGTCTAAGTTTTGCAAATCTCGGCTTCATTGCGGCTGTTTTTCAGGTAACACCCTGCCATGAAAAAATGACAAGCAGCATATACGTTGTCACCGTCTTTAGACCTGAAATCACTTGATTTGGTCGTCTTCAGCGGATTTCCTGAGTTACATGTGTTGTCGATGTTCGAAATCGAGTTCAATTGAATTAACTAGAATCGAATAGTATTAAAAAATATTCTGTGCAAATGGATGTAGTATGACGCACGAAAGGAACTCCATTCTAAATTTGCTAGAAAAGAAGGTTATGACGACTTTTTAATACTTGGAAGGCCGTAGACGAATCGTGAACAGTTCTAAAGTCTCACGCTGACTCATAGTCTGTAGTAAAATATATTTTAGGAAAACTGTAAAATAACAAGAGAGGGCAAGTCACAACATAGTCATTTTTACTTACTGCCTTTTCTTTTTTCTTGGCACGGTATTACGTGAAATATTGCCATAATGATTCTGAGATATTTGCAGGACTTCGAACTGCAGGTATCTGCGGTGTGGATCAAACACACTATTACGCTTTCATAGTTAACGTCTTCACCACCACACCATGCGGGCCCTAGTTTCCCCTTTCACTCGGCCGTCTTTTATCCTATAGTTGCAATCACTCGTAAACAAGATTGATCTGGGGAGCACAAATCGACATTGAACCCGATTAAGCTGAAGCTATAGTATAAGTCATGATGTAGTCACTTTTTATTTACTACCTATTTTTGCGTTCGGATATGAAAGTTTGATTTACTAAGACTTCCAGCTAACTTAATCTATTGCCTAAACCCGTGGATCCCTAGTGAATGTCCCTTCCTTGTCTACCTCGACAACTACAATTACAATTGAACTTTACCGCAAAATTTGAAGTAAGAGATGGACGGCTGGTATAATTTCTCTTTCTGCTGAAAATAATCTTTGACACCAATCACTGATAAGAGCAGGGGCAAATATGTGACAAAAATGAAGAAGCATGATTCATTATCAACGATAACCCGCTGGGTGAAGACTTCCACTATATGCGATTCAATGACTCTCAAAGTTGCAAATGAGGTCCATGCATAGCAAGCCATTGCTACTTTTCTTACTATTTCTATTGTTTCTTCTTGATGCTCTTGTTATTGTCATCGACATCTCATCAACAACTGTTTTGCCGCCTTGTTGATATCGTATGTATATGACCTATTTCACTTTATTCTATCTTTGTAACTGGTTTAATTGGGATTCGGCACGTTTACCATCCTCGGCTAACCGAGTGAAGAATAACTTCAATGATGCTGAGATATTTGCAAAACTCCGGACCACAGGTGTATGCGGTGGGGAACGAACACGCGCTATTGTCCTTACCGAGGAGTAGCGCACTTCACCGCCACACCATGCGGGTCCTTCGTTTCGCCTGTCTCTCAACTAGTTCTATCGGTCTTTTGCCATCAGCAATCACCCGTCAGCGGGATTGATCTGGAGAGCCCAAATCGGTAACGAACCCAGTTAAGCTGAGACCGCAGTTATAACCACAATTTAACGTATTATTTACTGCCTGCTCTTTTTAACGACAGCCCTTTGTATCTCAGCATCATTGAAGTTATATTTCACAATGTATACCCTGCCGTTAAAAAGAGTAGGGATTGAATAATACGAGTGAAGAATATTAACATTTTCTGCTATCATAAGAATCGCAATTGCACCGGACGGTTTCGAGTCAGGAGTTAGTAAATCTCTTTGAAAGGTTTAAAACTGCCTGTGGAGATGACTTGAGAACACCCTTTCAATTGGAGACTCAGAGAAATCGCTCTTGATCAGCATTCAGAGTGGCAATAGAAAAAGACGGCAGGTGCTCAAGTTCCAGCCGAACATACAGATGAGCCTAGTCACCTAAATGGACGACGGTTACCAGACCTGAAATCATTGGAAGAAGTGCTAGTATGCGATATGCGAAGACAGGTTATCTAGGCAACCAAGTAAGCACTTGACTAATTTGACTCCATCCATTTTATCTGAGAATGTGTGAATTTCTTGTGGTGGACAATAAATACTAAACTGATTTCTATATAAACACTGATATTATCGAAATATGACCACCGGTTACATTTCCAGATATCTGTCTATGAATTTGTGAACGATTGAGAAAATCCATAGATAAATTTTGCTTTTTATGAGTGTGATTTTAAAATCCTTACACTGCCATCTGCTTGTCCATCAAGTAGTTTGTCAACTCATTCTTGGGAGGTTGATGTTCCAAAGTGTCGAAGAGCGTTGTGAAGCAATAATTCATCATCCCAACAGAGCCTTCTCAACTGGAAATATTTTGATAGATCATGATGCTCAACTAGAAGCAAACCGTACCATAGTAGAGCTCGACAAGGTTCCTATAGATGTTTGAGGTCTGCTTCAAAATTGAATGAAAAACCAGCTTGGCAAGGCGAGACAGATCTTCACACATCTCGTCCACATCAACGAAACTCTACACCAAAAAATGGCGATTTCGATTTAACGATGGTATTCTTTGTATAAAAAACCCAACATGACGACAGCACGGAAAAGAACTGAGTCAATGAATTGTTGCGTAAGTTAAGCGAACAATAAAACTGTCTATTCTCAGCGAATCAGCCCTTTATACAGATGCCGAATGACTCCGCTATGCAAGCCATCTTCAAACTCCTTAGGCAAGAGGAAGTGGTAACAAATATGTATGGCTTCTCAGAGAGGCAGGTGCGGCGCAGTGATCGGAGGCGTCTTGCAACACACACGTGGAATCGATCTCCGCGCCCGTGGCTCACCAAGCCTTCCATCCCTCCGGGGTCGGCAAATCGATACCAGAATTGTCTGGAAGAATAGGAGCACTGACTCACCACGTCGGTTTGCCACCGCAAATCATTGTATAGGTCAGATATGCGTTCAATCACCTCCATACGATGCTTAATGAAGTCGAATGCAAGGTGCCATGGATTGACCAACGCCGAGAGCTTCATTTTTCTATGGCTTCTAAACTTTGCAGCTTATGGTCGACCTAAAGAAGTGCTTAAAGTTTCTATCCCGGAATGGTCCAGAAAATATTATGCAAAAATGTTGTTGGCAATGGAACAGTGACTTACACCAAGTCTTGCTTTTCCGTTCATACCTAAAGCGGAGACAACGATAATCGATCTCCGGCTATATTAATCTATCGAAGATGTACAGAGTATTATTTCGTCATTTGCTTCACACATAAAGAAATGGACAAATTTTTGAGTTGCTGGGCGAGCAGTCAGAGTACACAACATTCAAGTGGAAGAAACCG